GGGGGGGGGCGCGGTCTTGATTGCTTGCTCAGGTGGCTGGTGCCGCGCTAGACTTTATTTGACCAGGTGTTATCACTTATCCCTTGGGGAAGTGTGTAGGCCTGGTCCTTTTTTGGTTATCTTGAGGGCTTGGCCCCCAACTGATGTGTCTCAGCTGCAGTTGTAGTGCGTTTTCACCTTTTGTCTTGACTCAAGGGCTCAGCCCTGTCTGACTGCCTATTATATTTTTACCTAACTTAGCTGTCTATAATACTGGCTCCCGTATCCCTAATCCCCTTACCATCTTGTCAAAGAACCAACTCAATAAGATAACTATCTTGGAATTTTGTAGGGATCAGATAATTGATGTCAAGTGTCTGGCAGGTACATTGTAGGAGATTCATACATGTTCTCTTTGTACCTGTGGGGGACAAACCATCTTCAGATCATAACAATAGCCTAAGGAAACTGAATTTTAGTTCTCCCACTTAATAGCTTTATGCCCTTAATAAGTTATTTAACTCATCGAGCCTCAGTTTCCTCTCTGTACAGTAACAATAACCATACTTATCAAATTATAAATTGTAATTATTAAATTATAGGTGATATAAGTGCTTTCATAGAACTGCTGGAAGCACTTGGAAGGTAGTGGTAATTATTCCCTTGTCTTTCTCCAAATTTCCAATCAGGTAAGAAATACAGGAAAAGTGAACTGATAATCTGAGCCAGCCTCCTGGCTCCAGTACAATCACTCAGCCCCATGCTCAGAAGGGCTCCACCCTGGAGGTGTAATAATAAGTCACTGCTGTCCTCAAATTGTAAATGAAAACTTACAGGACAGCAGAGCATGATGCAGGGCTTAGAGCCTTGGCCAAGAGGTCTTGACTCCAGCAGATTTCCTTCTACCCACTCCTGGTACAGGCCTTGACTCAAGCGCAGGTGGAAAAGCTGGAGCTGGGAGAGTAGAGGCCTGAGGAGTCCTACTGGGAGCAGGCCCTGTTGGGTTGGTTTCCTACTGCATACTGAAATGCCAGTACCCAGGGAGCAGGGTGGAATCTGTTCATCTGTAGGACAAGATTATAGAAATCGGACTAATTGAACTGCACCACTCTTGTGGGGAGAGCATGGGCAAGTAAAAGCGAGCAATGACAGCCGGAGCTTCTGCAGTATTGGCCCAGAATTCCTGGTCTGGGCCAAGATCAGAACAAAGGAAAAACTCAGATCCAACTTGGCATCATCTTTTACAAAATGCTAGATGTCATTTTATTTGTATAGTTGCTATTATTACTGATAGTGGTGTTGTGGTAGAGATACCCTAAATCACACTTCAGCAGACCCAACTGCACACGTCCTAGCTCCTGAAACCTTTTTATACAGAAGCTCTTTTAGAAGTTTTCCATTTCATTTTTTAAAATGCCTGTTCTCACTGGCCCAGCTCTCAGAATCAGAAGGAGAAATCTGTTGTGTTCACACTCCTGGGAGAGGCTTCCTCTCCCAGGTGTTGTGTTTTGTTTTATCATCTTACCACAATTTCAGCCTCCCTTTGACAAAGAAAGGAAGATATGGTTGCTCAAGGTCCTAAGATAATTGGAAGCAGCTTCCTGAGCTCCAGCACACACAGAGGTGTGTGCTGGAGCCTAAGGCAGGAGAGAGGAGTGGGAACATCAGTGACTTACTTTTTCAGAGAGGAGGGTTGTGATGTCATCTTGAGATTTCTTCAAAACTCACACCACCTTGCAAGTCTCACGCTGGGTTTCAGAGGCCTATCTCCAGAAGGTGTGTTAAATAAGAACTGGGAGTTGAGTCACTCTCTTGAAGCATTTATTTCAAAGAAGCCACAGGGGAGGGGAAAAGCTGCCAAGGAAGAGAAAAACTGTGATAACGTAAGTGGCAAAGCCTCCAGAACATCAAAGCCTGTTCCCTATGGCCACAGTTCCTATGGACAGCATAGGTCCTAGCCAGGCTCCCTGCCTCACGTCATGCCGCCCTACCCACCATCTGTGGTACATCTTCCACTATTCCACTTCCCTGTTTAAATCTTTTCCCCATAAACAATCACCATTTAGGTAATATAATGGAAAGAATTCATTTGTGATAGCTACAGAAAATGTAAAACATATAGTTGTAAGCTTAATAAGAAATGTGCAAAACCTCTTTGAAGGAAACTTCCTCTACTGTGGGAGATTTTAAACAGACTGAAGTGTGAAGAAAGACCTATTCCTGGACGGGAGGACTCGGTTTAAAAGCCTCAGTTCTCTGCCCCCCCAAAAGTAAAATTTTGAGGTAATGAGTATGATCAAAATACTTTATGCACATTGAAACCCTCCAAAAAACCATGAAACTGGGTAGGGGGAGGATGAGAGGGGAGAGATGGGAGGGGAGGATTAATATGTGCATGTACAAACCTGACAAAATGAAACCTATTTATTACCAATATGGACTAATAAAAAAATTGGGAGAAAAAAATTCTAGTGATTTTGGATTTTAAAATTGATAATTTGAGGGCCGGGGATTTAGCTCAGTGGTGCCGCCGCCCGCCTCAGAAGTGCAAGGTCTGGAGTTCGATCCCTGCTACCAAAAAAAAATAAAAAATAAAAATAAAATTGATAATTTGATCAAGTTACTTCAAATTATTCTAGTTTTTCATTAGAAAAAAATTTTCCAGAAAAAAAATGTGGTAAGCAAGAATAGTGGAAGGGATTTCCCCCACCATTTTTTTTTTTTTTTTGGTACCGGGGATCAAACTCGGGACCTTGTGCTTGTGAGGCAGGTGCCAGAACCACTGAGCTAAATCCCCAGCTCCTCCCCCACTGATTTTAAAATGGATTATAAGCAAATAAAAATTTGCATGGTTCTTGCCCCAGAATAAAGAATGGGGAAAAAAATGGAACATAATAAAAAAATCTTGAAAAACTGCAAGTACAGAATAATTTTGTAATTAAGAAATTTTTAATAAGAAAAATATCAATGTGGAAAATAAACTATTCATTAAAGAATATCAGGAAAATTTACTAATCATTCGGCAGAAAAAAAGATTGGTACTATTAAGTACAAAGCTAAAGTGAGGCTGACAGATTAAAGCCCGTAGAGAAACAAGCAACACTTTGTGGACTAAAGCGTTTTGGTACTTAGGCTGGGAAGGAAGTTGCATTGAGGGCCGGGGATTTAGCTTAGTGGTTCTGCCACCTGCCTCGCAAGCGAAAGGACCAGAGTTCAATGCCCGCTACCAAAAAAAAAAAAGGAAGTTGCATTGATATAGCCTCCAGGATGTGGCCTTGGAGTAAGGCAGCAACAAGATGAACAGGACCGAGTGACAGCAACACTAATGATTTAATTAGAAGGGGAAATATGTACTGGAGAGAAATAGAAGTAAATATATGCTTAATATTGAGCTAGAATGGCCTTTCTATGCAAGATATCAAAAGCAGAAATCATTATTGTGTTTCAGTGATAAGAATGGAAGCCAGGGTCCTAGTTTTATTTATTTATTTATTCATTTTGGTGTCCAGGATCGAACTGGGGAGCTTGTGCTTTCGAGGCAGGCGGTGGAACCACTGAGCTAAATCCCTGGCCCCCCTAGTTTTATTTTGAATCCCTGAAATCTTTTGTGATCCTCCTTTTTTCTTTTCCACTATGAAATTGTACAATGATGCACCTAGCCGAGACTTTTGTCACATTATGTTTAGTTCCCTGTGAACCTTTTGGAAATCCATGGGTTTCTATTGCAGGGACAGTTCTCTTTCTTTGATAATCTCTCCTTCAAATTCTGTTTTTTCTTTTCTGAACTCCAATTGTTGCTAGGCTAATCCTCCATCATTTCTTTTTTTCTCTTATTTTAGTTTTTGTGACTTTATCCTAGGTTCTAGAGCACTTTTTAAGTATTCTATTCCAATACTTCTATGGATCCCTTGTTTAATTTTGGCATTCATATTTAAAATTAGCAAAAAAATTTTGTTTCTTATTATTTGAACTTTTAGACTATTATTCCAGGGTTTCTTAACACTGGGCACACATTTGAACTACCTGAGGCCTTTCACAAAGTCTGATGCCCAAAACACACCCCAGACCAATTAAATCAGAATTTGGGGATGTATTAGTCAGTTTCTATTGGTATGACTAAACGTTTAAAAAAATAATTTATAAGGAGGATGGGTTTATTTTGGCTCACGGTTTCAAAGGTTTCAGTCCATTGTCACTTGGCTCCTTTGTTTCTAGACCTGTGGCAAGGCAAAAACGTCATTGCTGAAGGGCATGGTGGAGGAAAGCTGCTCATTTCATGGCATCCAAGAAGCAGAGAGAGCTGTGAAACAGGTGCTTGCAGGCATCTTCCTCCTTCATTTTGCTCCAGCCGGGCCTGCACCCTATTAAATAGTGCCACCCACATTCAGGGAGTCTCTGCCCCATCAGTTTGATGTCCACTTGCCAATCAGTTGTCTCTGGAAGCACTCTCATGGACACATCCAGAAGTGCTCATTATTAATACCCTAGGTGTTTCTTGATGCAGCCAAGGTGACAGTCAGGATTAACCATCACAAGAGTTAAGACCCAGTCAACAACAGTTTTTAAAGCTCTTCAGTTGATAGCAATCTTTCCTAGCTCAAGAATCACTACACTGTTCTGTCCTTGTTTTAACCTGCATAAAATAAACATCACTGAAACAATTCATGGCCTATATGTAGTAGGTTCACAAATTCAGGCATGTAAAGATATACATTTTTAAACACAATTCAATTTTATTTCTAGCTCCTATTCTCATAGATGAAAGAAATTCAACATTAGTTAAATCAATTTCATTTCATTCCTGGGTTTAGACTTAATATTTTTTTGAATCTTGTTTATGTTATTCTGGGGAGAGAAGATAAATGTGTTTGGTCATTATTTATTATTTTTAATTGACTGAATTATTGGATGTCAAAGTGAAGTAGGATTGGGGCCGGGATTTAGCTCAGTGGTTCCACCGCCTGCCTAGCAAGTGCAAGGTCCTGAGTTAAAAGTGAAGTAGGATTATCAACATTTTGTTTTTCCTTTTAGCTATGTGGAGCCCAGGAATGAAATGTCATTGGTCCAGATACAACATACACTTTAACAGATATATTGTGTCTTTTATAAAAGTTAGCTATACTTTTGCCTTATCCTTCCAATTAACTCTATTTTTCTTCTTCATATATTCTTTATGAATATAAAATTTCTAGCACTGTATCATATATATATATTTATATATATAATATTTTTAAATTATGTGTTTCAGGTATTCACAATCAAGTTATGAAAATGCTTTCATAAACACATACCCACATGCAAATACATACTTGTGCTCTCTCTCTCTCCCTGCCATGACCTTTCTTCTTCAACCTCAACCCACATTAGCACCGTGCACAGAGCCTGACCATCCAAATTGCTTCTCTCCAATCTGAGAGTTGGTGTGCTGTCATGGCTGCATTAACTAAAATATTGTAAATTTGAATAGTCTTAGTGGTAGGACCTCTCTTCTCTGTCCCAGGGTTAACTCTTTGGCCAAAGAAATAGCAGCAGAGAAATTCAGGGTTTGTCTTAATCTTTCTGTAGGAGAGCCACTTCCTGTCTGGCCATCTACCAAGGACACAGAAGAACTTCCATCAGATAACAGACTTCCTCTGTTCATTCTTCCTGCTCAGTTCCTCCTCATTTCTTAAACAATACATGTTTGTCCATCAACAGAAATTTTTTTTAATTTAATGTATTATTTTATCAATACATTATTTTTCTCTTTATTTTAATTATTAATTATTATTTTTGTAAGATTTTTTTTGAGAGAGGGTCTTGCTGTGTAGTCCAGGCTGACCTCCATCACAGTCCTCCTGCCTTAGCCTCCCAAGGGCTGGGATCACAGGCATGTGCCACCATGCCTGGCTTATAATTATTGTGCAAAGTCTCAACGTATGTCTGTTGATACATACTGTTCACCATTGACCATGTTTATATTGTATAATATATTTATATTTATATTGTTTTTGACTAAAAATTTTTTTGATACATTCAATTTCATTTAAACTAATTATATTCCTAATATTATGTGTACTTCTAAAAATATAAAATATAAAGTTTTAGTAGTAAATCTAAAGGTAGGGTCTTTGAGGGGGTGATTAGGTCATGAGGGCACAACCCCCATGAATGGGATTAGTGCCCTTATAACAGAGGCCCCAAAAAGCTATCTTGGTTTTTTCACCAAGCGAGTTCATGTTGTTTGCAACCTGTGCACCCCATATACTAAATACGTGGCATCTTGATGTTGTGGACTGCCCAGGCTCCTGAACAGTGAGAATAAATTTCTGTTGTTTGTAAATCATCCAGTTTACAGCATTCTGTTAGAGTACCTCAAACAGGCTAAAGCACCCTCTATTTCCCTTTTACTTCGTTGCTTGGCTCTCCCTTTTGTCTCTTCTACTTCTCTCCCAATAGCCTGTTACCAAGTAAGGCCTATTAACAACCTAATTAACATGGATCTTCCATGTTTCTCTCCATGCTGACAAATACTGCACCCCTCAGTTTTTAAAAACGTATTTGGGGGAGCTCATGGGCGGGGAGCTTCCGAAGCACTCGCCTACTGGCTCGGAGCCCTCGCGCCCGGCCTGCTAGGCCCGCTAGACCTTCCCGGCCGTTTCTGCACTATTGCCTGCTGCGAGGCCCCCCGAGACTCTGTCGGTGCTCCGCCTCCTGGCGCAGTCGCCGGCTTGGGCTTCGTCCTTCGCCCGCCTGCCCAGGCCAAGCGGGGCCGGAACATGGAGACATCAGGACTGGATCATCTGAAAAATGACTACCGAAGAAGATTTGGCCGGCCTCCCAGGTCTCATTGATGACATTATTACAAATTCTAC